TTAAGTAGATTTACCAATTTCAGTTAAAAATCCAGAAGGTATATGTAATCATAAAGTAAAGAATTGACCATCAACTACAAATATGATTAATCATTTATCTAAAACACATAAAATTTATAATCCTACAGAAGAAGAAAAGGTAAATAAATATATATTTTTTATTTAAAAATTAAATTATATTAAATATAATTTTATTTAATTAATTTATATTTATTTTATTTTAAATAAGCTTTAAAATTCAAAGACAAAAAAATATAAGAGATTATATTATTCAATTTCATCTAATAAGTGATGACTAAAAACTTTTTTTAAAAATAAATGTTTAAAATTTATTATTGAAAGTAGACAACCATTTTATATTTTAAAAAATGAAAGTTTTAAAGAATTTGTTTTAGCTTTAAATTCTTTTTTTAAGATTTCAACTGAAAAATTTTAGATAGTTTTTTAATTGGATTTTTTAATAAAGAAAGAAATGATTTTAAAAAAAATAGATAAAATTAGTTTAACTTGTAATTTTTGAACATTTAAAGAATAATATAGATATATTAGAATTATAACACATTGGATATCTAATATAAGAAGCATTTTTAGCTCTTTAACATATTAAATATTCACATACTAGTAAAGTTATCAAAGAAAAATTAGAAGAGATTATAAATAATTGGAATATAAATCATAAAGTATCTTTTAAGTTAACAGATATTGCTAATATTATTTATGATCAAAGCCATTAGATTATTAGGTGAAAAGTATGATATTAATAGAATTTTATATGCTTATCATACATTACAATTAGTATAAGAAAGCTTTAAATGTTAATCAAAATATTCAGATTTTTATTTTAAAAGTTAAAATATAGTATACTTTTTTAGTTCACCTAAATAATTAGTATATTTAGTAGCAGTACAAGAAAATTTAAACTATCCTAAAGTTTATAAAACAGTTAAAGATGTTCTAACTAGATGGAATTCCTTATATTATTTTTGGATAAGATTATTAGAATTAAAAAAAAAAGCTTTAATTTATTTACCAAATAAATTAAAAGTTGATTATAACAAAGAAAATAAAAGTGATGGAAAAAAATTAGAAGAATTATGTTAAATAAAAATAAATGGAATTTAATGAAAAATTAGGTTAATATTTACTAAATTATTAAATAAATCTAATTATATTACTATATCTTTAGTATATTTAATGATTTTAAGTTTAAAAATCATATTAAAAAATGATAGAATATTATCAAAATAATACTAGTTAAATGATAAATAAGAGACTAATCAGGTCAAATCTGATAATCCAGATTTGCCTGATTGGTCTCCTATTTTTTTGTTTTTTTATCAGATGATCCCGATTGATAATGAATAATAGCGCAAATAGAATACAATAAGGTTCCAATCAGGGTATTTTAAAGATATTTATAAGGTTATTCTTATTAGTCTAAAGCGTAGCGAAGGACTATATACTTCTATGCCATATGACTCATATGTCCTGCATTCCCCCTGCTCAATATTTGAGTCAATCTGTTATTGGTCACAATTGTTGTACAATTATGAAATAATCTCATAACCACAAACCTAAGTATTGGGAGTTTTTCGCTTCGGACTTTCTAACGGTTTCTGTTATCTAGTTGATATCAATTTATTAACATCTAGCTTTCAATCAGGTTATCCCTAAGTCATCAATAGGAATATTTTTATTGTTTTTATTAAATTAATATTATACAAATAGCGTATTTTGATTAATAACATTTTATCAAATTTATTTAATATTTGTAATAATATTTTATACTAATAAGTAATCCCGATTAATTATAATAAAAAGAATTTTTATTAATATGAAATATTCTGATTGATACAATTTATATAAATTTAAATATATTTGAAATTTTACCAATTTATTCAGTATTTATTATAAAATAAATGAAAAAAATTTGAAATTTACCAATTTCTATCTATTATTATAATCTGTTCTACTACTATAATACTTAGAAGATACCATACTTTTACTCCTTCTAATTCTCTTCTTCTTATTACTTTCACCTGCATTATCATTATTATTTTTATTGAATTCCTTTTTACAATTGGATTCCTCTTCACTATCAGATTCTCCCTTATAATCAGAATTTTCCTAAAATGGTTCTTTTGAGTGGTTTCCTTCTGAATAGGTTTCTGATATTTAAAATAATTAGAATTATCAGATTCCTGATTATTGCTTTCAGAATGATATAAAATATGTTTTTTTACTAACGATCTTAATGATCTGGTATATCTAAATCTTGTTTGTTTAGGAGTATTTATTGATGCTTCATTTTTACCAGCTGCAAATTGGATATTATCATATACCCTTTTTCTAGTCTTGTGTACTTTTAATGATTTAGAGTCTTTATTATTCACATAGTCTCGCAAAAATGACTGCAACTATTAAAAATAAAAAGAATAAATTAATATAATCTGATTAATAAAAATAAAAATAAAAATTATTTACTGTAGGTGATTGCCATTTGCATTTTTGAATGACAATTTTTATTTTATTATAATTTTTATTATCAGCTTCTGAAACCTTTAGGCTATAATATTAATTATCAGTTCAGACTGGTTAGAGTTCATTATTATAAATTTTCCAACCAGATGGTCTTTTAATCTAATACATTTATCAATAGTTCTTGCTCATCATTCTCATTTCTAATATTTTTTTTAAAAAAATTAAAATAAGTTATTTTAAAGCTAATCTGGCTGTTTACTTACTTCATGATGATATGCGTTAGTATATTTTCTCCTCCTTTAGTAGTCATTCTATTCATCTTCTTTCTTTCTCTTAAGTACTTTTCTCTTTAGTATCAATAACATTCGTAAATAATTCATTTTATTATGAAATCTAATACTAGAATTGCTTTTTTATTGATTGATTTTTGTATAATTAGTATCATATGATTATTAACCAACTTTCATTGACTTTCAAAGGTTTTGTTAACATCTAATCTTTAGTTTTCAGAAAATCTATTAATGATACTGATTATTTTAGACTATATAAATCAGTGATAAATTAAGGTATTATTATTAAATTAACGATAATACATACTTTTTATATTATATAAATCGATAAAATTATTAATAAATTAAAGTATTATTTTTGATAATACATGAATATTAAACTTATTGTATTATACTAATTAGTGATATTATTAACAAATTAAAAGTATTGTTAAAGATTAACGATAACACATATTGAAAATATACTTTTTGCAAATATATAAATAAGACCTAATTATCGATATAAATCAGTAAATATTTTTTCTTTTCCTAAATTTTTTAACAAATATAACAAGATCAAAAAGAACCTGTTTTTATAAAGATAATACAAAAGATCGCAATATTATTTCTAAAATTACAAATATGTCAAGATCAAAGAAATCTGATAATAAAGCTTTCACAAAAAATCATATTACTCCTAAAACTAGGCATTTGGTTGAATACAAATATATTTTACATTGTTTTGATAGTAAATTAGTTGACTAAAAACATTTAAGAAATATCATCAAGAATTAGAATAATTTCGTGTTATTACTTCTGAATCTCAGCATTCTACAGCATTAGAAGTAATAAGGTGATATAAGAATACCATCAACTTTAAAAGGAAAAGAAAGAATCAAATCAGTTGATTGATATTAAAATTCATCTAATGATTATTTTAGTAATGATCTAATTCCTATTAATAAGGAACCAATTGATGTACCAAAGAAACAAAAATGATATAATAAATTTTATGATCCTATTTATGATGAATTAGAACTAATTTTAATCGAAGAAGAAGAAGAAGAAGTTGATGATATATCTATAACAAAAGATAATCACAGGTTTAGTGATAATGATCATAGATTAAGTGAAGATGATGTTCTGTTTGAGTGATTTACTGCTTCTGATTTTTATGATCTTGATGAATTAGATCATGAATATCCTGGTATAAATATTAACTTTAATGATCTATAAATATTGTTATAAATATTTAAGTTTCAAGCAAGATTTCACCTTTCTAACATTGCTATTAATTCACTTATTAAGTTTTTTAATATAGTTTTATTAGATACTAATTGGTCACATTTTAAAAACTTTCCTACAAGTTTTTATATAAGAGGTGGTCAGTAGAAAAGGTGAAAATCCAAAATTTTTGTTAATTTTTATTATTATGCCAAATTTGTGCACATGATCGAGATTAGCCAAGTGGTCTAATAATATAAATTTTGACCAAAATTTAGATTTTCCCCTTTTTTATTAACTACCTCCTATATGGCAAAAAAATGATAGGAATTAATAAACAAGTAAAGATATATGCAGTATGTTTAGATTGCAATATATTATATAAAATTTCAGAAATTTTACAAAAATGTGAATGATCAGTTAAATAATAGGTTTAAATGCATCCATGTAAAATTTCTAATCATCTGAAAAAGGTCAAAGAAATCCTTGTAAAACAGAAATAACAAAACAAATATCGATAGTTAAAGGTTATATTAGAAAACTAAAAATAATTTTTTGCCATCTTTGGAAACTCAATTGATTACAATGTATTAACGACCAGGATTTGAATTATTTTTAAAAAAAAATGGACTGATCAGAATAATATTGAACTGATAACTGATATTTATGATGAAGAAATTTGGAAAACTTTTTGCATCACAAATTGACACATCTGATTCTTTGCATTTTTTTACATCAAAAACTGCTGATTCCTATTTAGGAATTATGATAAATCTTGATTAATTCTAATTATTTGAGTCATCAGCATATAGTAGTGGCATTATATATAGTGTTATATGTAACCTTCTATGTGAAGTTCAATTTAAAAAAGAAAATATATTGATACTTGGACTACTACCAGGTCCTAAAGAGATAAAGTTATATCAGATAAATCACTACCTTTTCCTGATAGTGAATGAATTATTAGAATTATGGAATAGATATATTATACCAATCTCAACCAAATTTTCGAATGGAAAAAGAATTATGTTAGCTGTTATTTACTACTCAAATAATATTCTAGTTGCCAGAAAATTGTATGATTATATATTGGCATTAATTAGTTGTCGTCAATGCTATAAACGAGCAAATATAGGAGGTAGAAAACTAAATTTTAGTGGGTTTGAAAACATGGTTGATTGGTTTCAAAAATAAGATCTTGAAGAATATCTCAGAAATGCTGAAGGGTGATAGTAATGTAAAATAAAGATAAAAGAAAATAGCATATTTCTGATATATACGTACGTTGGTCAAAAATGTTAAGACTGTCTTATTTTAATCTGATTCGATATCTTGTCATCGATCTGATGTATTATCTTTTTCTTAGTATTGCCTATTAAATAGTAAAAAGGTTATGGTCTAATAAAATTGATTTTGTATTACTGAAAGTATAGGCAATATTCATCAATTTACCTATCGATTTGGGTCAGATTCCAAATAAAATTTCAACTAGAAAAGGTTTTCTAGCTTTATAGTCGATCAATAGAAAACCTTTATTTTAGTATATGCGATTCCATTATTATGAGATCTTTTGGATTTACCAGATGGAGAAATTTTAGTTAATTTTGTTAAAGCTTACTTATTACTTGTATATCGAATAATTGACAATAATATATTGACTGAAACTCATACCCAATTGTTACAAGTAATATGTTTGATTAAAGAAAATTATGGACTAGAGTTTATAACACTAAATATACATCTTTCATTTCATATTACTGAATGCTGTCATTCTAGTATTATTTGTTTGAAAGAATGAATAGTGAGATTTCATATCAATTGTTATTAAATTATTAAATAATTAAATATATAATTAATAATTTTTTAATTTTTTCTTTATAGGATTCCTTTCAAACAGTAAGCGATAAATTGAATTAGAACTTTTACGCATTATTGTACAAAACTATAGAATAGATAAATTAATTTTAAATTAATTAGATTGTTCAAAACTGACACAAGCTCTTAAATTGGTAAAGTTTCGTCTGATAGCTGGAAGTTTAGCATTATATGATAAATTGGATTTTATAGAATTATACCGATTTGTACAAATCTTTCATCATCTTAATGAAACTGTTATTGAAAATAAGGCATTTTTAGAACAAATGTTTTCTTCAAAAAAAGAATATGTATCTTTATCAGATAATATTTATAAATTATTAGTTTAATATTATAATAATACATATGATAGGATGTTTGTAATAATAGCAGGTGCAGTTTCTAAAATATCAACAAAAGATCTTACCATCATTTTGCTATATATTAATCAATATAGTTATATTAGGATTGGATCCAAAATTTTCAGAGTAACAATTGCATCCTAATATATGAGGAATTCACATATATTGGCAAAATTTATATAAAGCGATGAGACAACAGACATATTTTCTAATGAAATATAATACTAGTTTGAATATTCACTTGACTTTTCAATAGGTACTGTAACATATTATTTAGCATTTATAAAAATGGCATATATCAGCTCCTGACCAGTAAATAAGGTTTCATTGCAAATCTAACATCGAAGAAGAATTATGTAATATTGAGCTTTGGATGAATTTTATAAGATTGATAGAAATCATTCTGGTTCATAATATATATAGTAAAAATGAGGGATAAAACTCAAAAAAGGCAATTAATAAACAGTTGAAACCATATTAAAACATAGTGAGGGGTACGACGAAATCCTGAAATCTGAAATTAGCTGAAACTATATTAAAAACATAGTAAGAGATATGATGAAATTATTTTGAGAGAGTTTCGGCTGGCATCTTTAATATATAGTCAATTTATGCTAAGTAAATTTATAGTTAGTATATGATAACTGAAAAAATATATGGCAATCATACCTATTAATAGACAATTTTATTTGCAATTTAATTGTATCTTATTAAATAAATTTGTAATAATCAGTATACTTAATAAATTAATCAATTTGAAACAATTGGTAAAATTAAAAAATAGAAACTATTCAATAAATTCTAATTGAATAATAATCATCATCAATTGGGTATTAAACTGATTGATAATTAATTGTTAATTGAACCTAATTTGTTTTTTTTTTTTTTTTTTTTTTTTTTTTTAAATGTGCGGTAGTATCGCAAAATCTTTATTGAAATGATAAATTTATACAGAAGTACAAAAACAAATACATAGAAAAAACGAAAATTTCTATCTAATTACTAAAAACTAGATCAAAACCGACCTTGCACATTCCTAGACTAATTACCTGTAGCACAAATAATCTTGACAGTCCGGGTGGAGGGCCTGGTCACTACCGATTCAAAAATCCGTCCAGGAGGTACCGAAGTAGAAAGCATTTTGAAAACATTGGGGAATATTCGCTGAGAAATTAGTTGGAGTTTTGGGAAAACCCGAAGATTTCCAATCACTCTTCTTCTTAGCTAGTGTTATTTGGTGTGTTATTTCAAATGTATTAAGTGTGGTGCAGCGGGCTTTCCAAATGTTA